ATATTGGTGGTAATTATTGACTGTGTAACTTTACAAACGGCACCCCAAAGACCTCAGTCAGCCCACACAGACACACACATTCACCATACAAAATGTGTGAAATGACTACATGCAGCCATGTGATTTCAGCTCCTGTATAATTTGGGAGATTGATCACAGTCAGAACCAAAAGTCTGTCTCCGTTTTCAACCTCTTGACTGGATTCTCTGCGTGCGTGCATGTGTGTGTGTGGTTTGTTGCCCACTTCTCTTAAAGCTACACAACATAACACACATCTCCCGYGTTCAGAGCTGTTTAGGCAGTAAATCAGCCATCTCAGGCTGGGAATCACTTGTGATGGCAGGTAGCTCAGCAGCGGCTGCCTGCAGCGATGGGGATAGTCATTTGGAGGAAATGCACTGACTTTCATTTGCATCAAAACAAAGCCATAAATCATCGAGGAGGCTCTCCGCGGAGCTACAGTCTGTCAGGGAGCAGCCCGGAGCAAACAAATACCTGMTTTTTGGGGAGGGAACTTTATTTCTTTATTTCTTCTGTCTCTGTGGATTTTTCTTTGTCATCCCTTCAGTTCTGCAGCCTCCTGTCTCCTGTCTGCCTCCAAACAAATCAATTCATTTCTCTCTTCTTTTCCCTTTTATTCCCAATGTTTTTCCTCCACAATTCTGTCCTCATTTTATGATTTTAACCACCCTAATGCCTAGAATTATAAGAAATAACATTAAGTCTGTTTATGAAACACGTTCTTTGTCTTTTAAATGGAAAGAAGCAAGAAACGGGCCTCACTGGAGAAACCTTCAACGCTGCGCTTATTCTTCGGGATAAACTGTTGAGTTTTACTGATAAAGAACTGCATTTATGGTTTATGACACTCATGAAATATACAATAAAGCATCCCTCTCTTGCCTCTCCTCCGAACAGTAGCTCCTGATTAGTGTTTGGAGCTGCTGCTGCAGAACAAAAGGCTCATTCAGAAGAAAGAAGGACGAGGTTTCAGCTCTCATGGCTCCCACAAGGATAAAAAGACATTTTATAGTGGAGATGATGTGATCATCCTTTAGGCTCGTCTCTGGGTCCATTTCAAAACARTGATAGCTGAGTGTGTGTGTGTGTTTCTTTTATACTGCTTTCACACGTGTATGTGGATATTTAGATGAATGGAAAATAAGGATAAGTTAGGTGTGTATGTGGAGCACATCGGTTTATCTGTTCAGAGCTGTTTCATGTCCAACAGGTTAAATATGTTAAATAAGTTGGAGCGTCCTCACGTGTTTTCACTGATGCTGTGACTGCAGGACCTTCAGTCCCGTCCTGCAGCTGAGCGTACAAACTGATCTTATACTCCATGTTGGGCTTCAGGTTGTTAAAACAGTGCCTGTTGGCTCCTCCGCCCAGCCTGGTCTCCTGCTTCTGGCCACCTGCAGCGACAACACAAAACATCAGCAC